GGGCCCCCTCGCCCAGGGAAAGCCTGGAATAGGGGTGGTTTCGTTTTCGACGGCTGTGCTCTCGTGCTCATGGCACAGTTGAACGGCAAGCAAAATCCAAGCAACATCCTCCTCCTCCTCCTCCTCCGCCTCCTCCTCCTCCTCCTCCTCTCCTCCTCCTCCTCCTCCTCCTCCTCCTCCTCCTCCCCCTCCCCCTCTTCCTCCTCCTCCTCCTCCTCCTCCTCCTCCTCCTCCTCCTCCTCCTCCTCCTCCTTCCCCTTCTCCTAGCCCTTCGGGCTCTGCCGCCAAGGATGCCTGTATCGTCGCCACGGCGGGAGCCACCCCGGAGTCCCTGGCCAGGACTCCTGGCCCGGTGAGGTGGAGAGGGCGCTGGAGGAGGCCCGAGGGGAGCATGCTGAGCCCAACGACCAACGTGCCGAGCCTGACGATCCGCGTGCTCTTGAGAAGGACGGCCACAGCAGGGGCTCGACCACAAGAAACCTCTCCACTAGAAACCCAACCCTGAGACCCCAAGACGTCCGCTGGTTTTTGGTGCGGGAGCGCCACGCTTTCCATCGCGAAACCATCGAAACTCAGGGCACCCTGGAGACAAGAAGGGTGTTTCTTGGCAGGGGCCCCCTACTGCAGGTGATGGATGAGGACGAGGCCCAGAGAGCGGAGGAGACCAGGAAGGTGGACGTGTCCACGAAGCTGGTTGAGGAGGCCAATCGGAGGGGACAGGACAGTACCGAGTTCTTGCGCGAGGCTGCCGCCCAGTCCTCGACGGTCATGCGGCTTGCATCCAACAGCCCAGCTGCAGTTACCACAGCGCTGCAAGCGACTTCTCGTAGACATCGCCCACAGGCCTACCTTCTGCTGCGGAAACGAGCAGAGACGGGTTCTGACTACACGGAGGCCCTCCGCCTCAACAGCCAGGACGACAATGCGAAATACTGGTGCGCCGAGGTCCGCTACGAAACGGAAAGACTGCCAAATGTCCTCCATGTAATCGAGCAGGTCCTCAAACAGACAAGGACGATGAGAGAGAGAGAGAGAGAGCAAACGAAATAGAGAGAGCGAGAGAGATAGAAACAACAAAACAAACGGCGGAAGAGATACGAGTGCTACTGGGAGGAGTTCGAGGATCCCTCGGAAATGGCACCGCCTGAACCCCACGATCCACAAGCGCAACCTGGACGAGATCGGCGACGCATACGACTAGCAGTCCGGATATTGACAGCACTGTTATCCAGCCGCTGCCCGTACGTCCGTATCGGGAAGACTGGGCTACGGGGACGCGGTGGGCGTGCCGCAGGACGCGGAGGACGTGCAAGAGCGGCACGACGCGCCGCACCACTACGTGGCGTGGAGTATACGGGGAATAGCGCTGTGACGATGGACGTGCGCCACGACGTGCCGCCACGACGTGCCGCAGGACACGGAGGACGTGCAGCAGGATGCGGAGGACGGGCCGCCAGACGAGGATTAGGTCGGGCGTGTCCCCCTACAGGCGGATTTGGGCGAAAAATGAAAAGTACCCCACAAATATTCGAAAACAGTCAAAACACCGTCCCCAGACCATTTTTTATATGATTTTGGAATGTTTCTCCCGTAGAGGGACAAGCCCGACTTGAGACGAGGAGGACGTGCGGGAGGCAGGGCCGCCACAAGATTCGGCCACTTTTTGGGGCCAGGACGCGGAGGACATGCAGGTGGTTGACGAGGAGCAACGTTACGACGTGTCGCAGGACCAGGCTGCGAAGTGCAGAGAGATCTTGGCCAGCACCAGTGACAGGTGGAAAAGACAGCACCAACTCCGTATGAGCATGATCGAGGCCGTCTACCGCAATGGCCACACCACGCGTGACGAGTACGAGTTCCGCGTCGCCACTGGAGGGGGAGAAGGAGGAGGAGGAGGAGGAGGAGGAGGAGGAGAGGAGGAGGAGGAGGGAGGAGGAGGGACGAGGACGAGACGAGGACGAGGAGGAGGAGGAGGGAGGAGAGGGAGGAGGAGGGGGAGGAGGAGGAGGAGGAGGAGAGAGGGAATAAGAGGGGGGAGGAGTAGGAGGGGAGGAGGAGTAGGGAGGGAGGAGGAGGAGGATAAGAGGAGGAGGAGGAGGAAGGAGGAAGGAGGAGGAGGAGGAGGAGGAGGAGGAGAGGAGGAGGAGGAGGAGGGGAGGAGGAGGAGGAGGAGGAGGAGGAGAGGAGGAGGAGGAGAGGAGGAGGAGGAGGAGGAGGAGGAGGAGGAGGAGGAGGAGGAGGAGGAGGAGGAGGAGGAGGAGGAGGAGGAGGAACACTCGGAGAATGAGAAATGGACGAACGCAGGCGGTCACGGCCGAAAAGGGAAGAAGGGCAGGTGGTCAACAGCGAACGGATGGATGGTAAGAGGCGCGCCTGGAAGCGCCGTCGGGCGGCGGTGTGCCCGTGGGCTGCTGCGATGCCTTCCTGACTGAGGGCGCGACTTTCATGAAATATGCGGAAACATACAGCAGCAGGAGGAGGAGGAGTAGGAGTAGGAGTAGGAGTCAAGCTAGCCAGCTCGAGCGAGTCAAGCATGGCATGCCCAGTCCCACCCGCCCTCCCACAACATAAGAAGCAAAGCTGGCACAACTGGGGGCCGAAGTCACACCGGCCAGCCGGTTTGGTACAGCTGATGCGGCCGCGATGGCGGTTGCCGACGGGAACTGGCGAGCGCGTGTTGAATGCCGCGCACGCATTGCCAGACGAGTCGAGAATGGCCCGGTACACCGCAGGAAGCCAGAGGTGGCCGGAGGAAGCCCGACGGTCTGACAGGACACCCCAAAGCATTTTTGTGAAAAAGCATTGGGTTTTTGATGTTTTTATGTTGAAATGCTTGCAAACACACGGCGTTCGGTAGGATTCTGACATGAACGCGCGAGTGTGCTCTTTGTGGTATTTTTTGCACAGGATTCGCGGCCTGGGTGCATGACAGAGCATCGCGAGTGCACCGCGCGATGACGCGAAATCGCTGGATTTGACCGAATTCTTAGAGATTCCTATGGTTTTCCTATGATTTCAGCAAGAGAGCCCGGGCGGGAAATTTGTACAATTTTTGTGAAAAAGCATTGGGTTTTTGATGTTTTTATGTTGAAATGCTTGCAAACACAAGGTGTTCGGTAGGATTCTGACATGAACGCGCGCGTGTGCTCTTTGTGGTATTTTTTGCAATGGATTATCGCCGTGGACGACAAGACGTCCATGTCGAGAGGAAAAAATAAGAAAAATGTTGATTTTGTATTGTTTTTTACAGGTTAGGATGGGACCCCCCGGATGCGGCCCCTAATGGCCGGCCTGAGGGGGGAGTAGGAGTATATTCTAATAAGGAATAAGGATAGGAGTAGGAATAGGAGTCAAGCTAGCCAGCTCAAGCGAGTCAAGCATGGCATGCCCATTCCCACCCGCCCTCCCACAACATAAGAAACAGTGCCGGCGCAACCTGGGACCGAAATCAGATCGGCAAAGTGGTTTGCCACAGCTGATGCAGCCGCGATGGTAGTTACCGATGGGAAATACCTGGCGCGTCTCAAAGACTGCGCTGGCATAGCCTCAGGAGGCCCCAGGAAACCTCAGGAGGCCCTAGGAGGTTGCAGGAAACCCTAGCGAACCCCAAGAAGCCCCAGGAGGCTTCAGGAGGGCCCAGGAAGCCCCAAGAGGTTCCAGGAGGCTCCAGGAAGCCCTCGGCAGTGCCAGGAAACCCCGGGGAATCCCAGCAACCCCCAGGATGCCTCAGGAGGCCCCAGGAGGATCCACGAGGCCCTGGAGAAACCCCGGGAAGCCCTAGGATGTTCCAGGAGACCCTGGGAGGCCCCGGGGGGCCCTAGGCGCTCGACGAATTGGCGAGCGAAAAATGTGCGCCGCACCTTAGCGGGAGTGCAACTTTCAGAAAACATGCGCGCGGCGCCGAAGCGGGAATGACATTTTGCCGTGTCGCGCGCGATGTGCGCCACGCCCCATTCCTGCCACGCATATCGCAAATCCGACGACAAGAAAGTCCTCGCTGAGGAGAAACATGTCGACTCTGTACTAGTGTTTGATAGGTAGGATGGCCGCTCCCGCTTGGGATGCCCCAGAAGCGCGCGCGATGTGCGCAGCGTTCCGCTCCTGCTACGCATTTCGCATCGTCGACGACAAGACAGGCCATGCTGAGAGGAACCATGGAGATTTTGTGCTGATTTTTTTCAGTTAGGATGAGAGGGCCCAGATTGACGTCCGCGCGCGATGTGCGCCGCGCGCCGTTCCTGCCACGCATTTCGCATCGTCGACGACAAGACAAGCCATGCTGATGGAAAAAACAATGACTTTGTATCGTTTTCTACAGATAGGATGGGAGGGCCCAGATTGACGGCCGCGCGCGATGTGCGCCGCGTCTTATTCCTGCTACGCATTTCGCATCGTCGACGACAAGAAAAAACATTTTTTGCTTTTACCATCGCACGTCTTGTAACATGAACTCTTCACAAGATCATCGTTTCATTGTTCGAGCCGGGTGCGAAAAAAAAACATACACTGTTGTGAAACAGTGCCGCAATGAACCTAGATAAAGGAGTAGCAGTGAGTCTCGGTCAGGCAAGCTGGAACAGAGAATGATGGAGTACGCTTCAGTGCTCAAGCAGCAGGAGTGATGACCATGGTGGACGAGTGTGGGCGCATCAATCGCGTAGTCATCCAACACAAGCCCTGCGCGCAGACTACGAGCCCCTTCCGCGGCCTCCGCCGCGGCCTCCGCCGTCGCCGCCGCCCCTCCCAATGAAGCCTCCGCCCTTTCCGCCGCCCTTCCCATTTCCGCTGTTTTTTTTGCCCTTGTCCTTGCCTTTGCCCTTGCCTTTGCCCTTCTTGCCCTTGCCGCCGTCCTTGCCCTTCTTCGAGATGGTAGGCTGCGGCAGGAAGCGGGCCACCGGGAGGAGCTTCTGGTTGTCAATTTAAAACTTCTGCCCCTCCTTGAACGACTTTGCCTTCATCCCCTCATCCACCTTTACCGAAAAGAACAATTGGTTAATAGGTCAGAAGATTTCGTCAACCTTTCCGATCTGTTCTTTGTTCTCGAAGAAGTTCCGGGCGTTGAAATGCGGAACCATATTGTTGGTACACTTACAGACCAATTCGTCCTCGCACGGGCGCATCGCTTCCCCGACCTCCTCGATCTCGTCGGGAAGGCCCTCGTCGATGGGTGCCTTGTCCTTGCCCTTGCCCTTCCCCTTGCCGCCCTTCCTCATGGCGCGAAGCAAACGAGGCGGCCAGATACCTGGGCGCGCGGTGAACGATTACCGCCTACTTCTAAGCGGTAGCTAGGCAGAATAACATCGACCCAGACAGGCCCGGCCCCAACGAGCCACGGCCAACTCGAGCCACGATGGCTTGAGCCAAAATGGCTACGGCGACAAGAAAGGCCATGTTAAACAAAAACGACTTCGTACTGTTTTTTTACGGTTAGGATGGGAGGGCCCATATTGACGGCCGCGCGCGATGTGCGCCGCGTCCTATCCCTGCTTCGCATTTTGCATCGTCGACGACTTCGCATTGACATTTTACAGGTAGGATGGGAGGGCCCGGATGGGGCCGCTATCGGCCAGCCAGAGGGGGGAGTAAGAGTACATTCGAATAGGGGATGAGGATAGGAGGAGGAAGAGGAGGAGGAGGAGGAGGAGGAGGAGGAGGAGGAGGAGAAGGACGAGGATGAGGAGGAGGATGGAGGAAGGTGAGGCGGGGGAGGAGGAGGAGGAGGAGGAGGAGGAGGAGGAGGAGGAGGAGGAAGAGGAGGAGGAGGAGGAGAAGGAGGAGAGAAGGAGGAGGAGGAGGAGGAGGAGGAGGAGGAGGAAGGACGAGGAGGAGGGCGGAGGAGGAGGAGGAGGAGGAGGAGAAAGAGGAGGAGAAAGGGGAGGAGGAGGAGGAGGAGGAGGAGGAGGAGGAAGAGGAGGAGAAGGAGGAGGACGAGAAGGAGGAGGAGGAGGACGAGGAGGAGGAGGAAGAGGAGGAGGAGGAGGAAGAGGAGAGGGAGGAGGAAGAGGAGGAGGAGGAGGAAGAGGAGAGGGAGGAGGAGGAGGAGGAGAAGAAAAAAGGAGGGAGGCTGGAGAGGAAGGGAGGTAGAGGGAAGGGTACGGATTCTTGGGGAGGAGGGACGCTGAGGCCCCCGCGACTGGGCGCTCGTCCACGCGCCGCCGCCGCCGAGGCGGGCGGCCGCGACCCACAACGCCTCCCAGGACCCAGCGTCGCCAGCCGAGGGCGCGGTGCCTCGGACGACGACGACGCCGACGCCGACGCCGACGACGACGACGCCGACGCCGACGCCGACGCCGACGCCGACGCCGACGCCGACGACGCCGACGACGCCGACAACGCTGACGACGACGACGCCGACGACGACGACGACGACGACGATGGCGACGACGACGACGACGACGACGGCGACGACGACGACGACGACGACGACGATGGCGACCACGTCGACGACGACGATGGCGATCGTCGCGGCACCGCGATGAGCCCCCGCTGTCCACCACCGTCACCCTTGCCCTCGGTTGATGGATCAAAGCCTACACCTTTTGTGTTGAGTTTTGTGACCCCCCCGCGCACCGATTTGATATTGGCGGTCTGTGACGCGATGCGTCGATCTGTCGACTGGCCGACATCCTGCACCCCGCTGGCGGTGCCAACTAAGATTGGATCCAGGGCAGGGGGGGTCGCGTTGAAGTTCGCGCTAGCACGCTGGTCGCGCGGGCGGTGCAAGGCTTGGTCCATCAACCGCTTCTCACCCTCACGCTATCCCTTCTCACCCTCACGCTCTCCCGTGTCCCTCGTCCTCATCGCCGCACCCCCCCCCCGTCACCGTATCCGCCCCCTCTGCTGCTCCCACGTTTCCCGCTGCGCCGCCGTTCTCGTCTGCGCCCTCTCGTCTTCTGCAGCAGCATCCGAAACGACCGAACCAATCCGATGAGCGAGAAGCCGATATACAATATACAGTTGTATATGACTGCACAGCCTTATATAAACTATAAAATGCCACAATGCGACGTCAACTAACATGACATATTATACTATACTATAACAACACACAAACTGTATTATGATAGTACCTAATCGAATACAATCCAATGCAGCCCAACATATTACTAATTACATTACTGTAATATGTACTGATACAATGGTATGCCACATAATCCCGAGTATACTGTTCTTGATATTTTTACACTATGCTTACATATTATGAGGTGACAAACTACAGTATGGTATAAAAAGAGCAGCAGGGAATAGACTACAGTGAGGACTACTATCATGTACTCTAACATACCATGATACACTATAACAGAACATTGTTCAGTACACCAGGGTCTTCTATAATGCATCAGAACCCACTTTAATATACCATGAAATGATATACACACAGCTTGACATCACACTCCATAGTTCAACATACGATGCTGAACTACGATTTAGTACGACACACTAAGATATAGTACAATGTGCTAGCAGATCCCACAGTTAATATACTACACTGCGCTTCACTATGGTACGATATGGTATCATACAGGGTAGCACAACACACTATACTATAACATGCGTTCGTATTAGTATGACGCCGTACATTGTAGTGCGATATCCTATAACCTTGTCGCAATATACCATGCCATAGCTTATTGTATGGTACTATATACTATATGGTAAGCGCGTGCGTGTGCGTTTACATATCATTTTGGAAGCCGGTATGATATAGTTCCGCATCTCATGATACAGCATACTCTAATAGACTATAGCACCACATAGTGTACCTTAACACGACATAACTTAATATGGTCGAATATAATACGTTTTGATATGCCGCTAATGTCCGCCACCGTGCCTCTGGGCCCAGAATGGGCGTGTGTTCAGGTATGTTGCCCCATTCCCTTAAGTCTCAATCCTCAGTTCTGAGGAGTCTAAGGGGCCCAACATCCAACTGCCCAAATTGCTCGGCCTCAATGAGCAAAGCACCGTTCCACGAATTGGCCTCGAACCACGCGTTCGGAGCTTGCTTGGCGCACGGGGCGCCGCTCCGCTAAATGGGCTCGAACCAGGAGATTCGGATTGCCTCGCTCCCATCACGACGCTCCGCTAATTGGCCCCAGACCAAAGAATTTTCATTGCTTCGCCCCAATTAGCGGAGCGCCCCCCGCTCATGGGCTGACCCAGAGGCTCCCGAGAGGCCAACAACGAGATCGCAACCAACATACTTAAGGCCTCTGACCCATCACTCAAGCACGGTGGCGGGATGGGCAGCAGGCCAGTAGCGTAAGAGAGGGGGAAAGCAAAGTCCGCCACCACTCCTGTCCTCCTCCCCCTCGCCCTTGCAACTCCTGCCTCAACCCCACATCGTATCATTCATCGCGCTCCTGCTCCTACTCCCATCCGTATCCCGTGTGGGACCAGCGTGTGGTCTCCGAAAGAATTTCTCGAGCAGCTTGGAATCCGCACTTTCGAGGCGTACTCCAATTCAATATCCCTTCATGCGTCTTCAGGGATGCGTCGTATCCACGCGGTGCAACTCAACTGATGCGTCTTCAGGGATGCGACCCATGGACAGCCTCTCATGGTCATCAACCGATGGGGTGCAAGTGCCGCGGCGGGCACTGAGTAGAGTCCCCAGGTCCCTTCGAGCTCCATGTATTGAGTGTAGTGTTGCACTTGATTGCTCACTTCAGGGGCCCAGAGCGCGGAGTCACAGGCGCTCTCGGGGCGCTCTCGGGGCGGCTCGCACGACTTTTGCAGAGGCCTTGTCGAGCGCGGGGTTTGGATTCCACACTTCCAACGTGACCCAAGATGTTCTCACAGCCCACCCTGGAGCCCTCGTGGGGGCCTCGTAGGCTGTCTTGGGGACCCTGTGGGCTGGCCCCAGAGGCCAACATCGTCCAAGATCCTGTGTTTCCTGTGTGTTTGTTGCATTCTCGCCATTCCGGTCTTAAGAGCGACCAAGGCGGTCCAAGAAGCCACCAATCTCGACTCAAGCTGGCTTCCAAGCTTCCAAGAGGAGCGCCGGAAACGGCCCCCTGAGAGGTCTCAAGTGGCCTCCAAGGAACCTACAAAAAGGGGGCCGCCGAAGACGCATTCAGGAGACCCCCAAGGGGGCCTCAGAGAGGCCTCCAAGAGGCGTCCCAAGAGACCCCACGAGGCATGTCAGAGGCCTCTGGTCCACAATCCGGGCACGGTGGCGGGTCGGGTTAAAATGCCACTAGTAAATAACTGGTCCGTCACCGTGCCGCAGGTACTCAGTGGAGCGCCCGCAATTCAATTCGACTTCGCTACGATGGGAACACCGCGAATGCTCTTTCAAGGCAGAGGGCCCATGTCATGGAACTCATGGGGTGCAACCGCCAAAGCATAGGATCCGACTGGAACCAGACATCCGGGCGCTCCGATTTGTTCGATGCGTGGGCCCCAAAGGTCTGGAGGCCTGAGTCGCATTTTTTTGACGGTCCCGAAGCCTGGTGAGGACCCCCAGAGGCCGAAGACGGCCCAGAACCCGCAGCTCCAATTTTTGCTCGAGCGCTGGCTCTCTGGGGAAGCCGTCGGACGCACGGCTGGCGGGGGAAGCCGGCCACAGCCTGGGCACGGCACCGAGCCAAGCCTCGCCGTCGCTCGGATGTCCATTCCCCGTGCATTTTTCGGTTTCGTGCGCGCATTTTTCGCAAGATGACCCATAGGAAGGCACCAACTATACACCAACACCAATCCTTGCCAGGATCACCCTGGGCCCAGGATCGATGTATACGCCCTCCTGCCCTGGGCAGAATGCGTATACACCGATCCTGGGCCTAGGATCGGCCTGGCCAGGATCGGTGTAGGTGTATAAGTGGTGCCCTCCGAACCCCGGGTGCTCCTCGATGGCCCTCGCCGAGAAAAGGTGCGCACACCCGGGCGATGCCGAGTGCAAACCTGCCAGTGCCGTGGCCCGAGCGCCGCGCAGAGGCCCGCGAGCACGAGCTGCAGGGCACGCCGCGGGGGCCAGTCCTTCGGCAGCGCGTGCCCGGGCCGCCAAGCCAGCAGCTTTGCCTTGGGCGTCCGGGCCGACAGACCGACCGGAGCGGAGGAGCTGGTCGGGCCCTCAGATCGGGGCGTTCCAAGTTTTTCACAACGGGCGTCTTCGCCAGGTTTCGGGCCCGGGGCACTCACAAATCGATTCGGCTCGAAAAATGACGCAGGTCCTCCTCCTCCTCCTCCTCCTCCTCCTCCTCCTGCTCCTCCTCCTCCTCGGCAACGACGACACAGAAAAGGGGCACGGAGGATGCAACGACGAACTGAGCGGCCCCACCGGGGCCAGCGCGAAAGCGGCAGCGCACAGGCGGGCCCGGATAGCCTCCCCCCTCCCCTTCCAGGGCACGGCCCTGCTCGCGTGGCTCTGTGAGGGCCTCCCGGGGCCCTTCTCGGGGCCTCCCTTGGGGCTCCTTGGGTCTCTCTTAAGGGTTCCTTTGGGGCTGCTTAGGTGCCCTCTTGGGCTCCTCGGGGGCCTTCTTGGGGCCTCCTCGGGCTTGTGGGCGGTCCGCCCAAAGAGCCCCCGCCACGGGACCCTCTTGGGGCCCCCTTGGAGCCCTCTTGGGGCCTTCTCGGGGCTCCTTGTCATTACGGTCCCCGAAAACTGCCCCCGATGACAGGCCGATGAATCCGATGCGAAGCTCGACACATGCGCGAAGGAATGCCGCACAAGGAGACGGGGTTCTGCACGCTGTGCAGGAAAAGACGGGACGCAACGCTACGCCGTTCGCCAACAAATTACTTGAGCCCAAACTGATTGGGCAAAGCATGCCGTAGTCCTTTGGAATGCTCTTGGGGCCCTGTTTGGGTTTTGGTTCGGCCCTTCTGGGTTTCGGAGCTTCATTTGAAGCCTGAGAAGCCCTGCTGAGTAGAAAAAGAAAAACTAGGCATCATAAGCATAAACTGTCAGAGGTCCGCGCGGACGTCCGAACATTTATATTATTTCTTTCTTTCTTTCGCCCGGGTGAATGCCATGACAAGCCCGATGAGCAGCAGACAAATGGCTGAGGATTAATTTGGTTGCTCAATGACTGGAGCTACTTAAAATGAAAACCGGCCTGCGCCGGCTCAGCGAGAAGAGAGGAGGCGTAGTCGATCCAAAACTAGTGACATGGCGGTGGACAGCGCGATCACTTCGCACTGGAAAGTTTATGTTCCTGATGTCTGTTCTTGTTTGGCTGAGGCGGTCTTGCGACCAGCGTGGCGTGAAGTTCAACAGGGTCCTGCTGACACCTCGGCCAGACGGGGCCCCCATGCGCCAGTGCTGCGGCCGAGCGGCGGCACGCGCGGGAGCGGCGGACCCGCTCCAGGCTGGTGGAGTCCCTCCCGCGGGGTCCCGTCTTGGAATCGGACGTTTCTCAAACGCTGGGTGCAGGTTCAGTATCCGCCGGTCGGAAGAAGTGGGTAGAAACAGGAAGTAGGAAGGCGTTGGAACCATATTGTGCTTCCGCCCGCCTCCTGAAGAGGAGGGAAGAAGGAAACCAGTCGATCCTTGAAGTAGGAAGGCACCTAAAGTAGACTGGGATATGGGAGTCCAAAAATATCTACTTTAAACGACCGGCGTGTAGCGTTATCGACCTTGGCAGACTCAAGCTGAATCCCCGAAACAGGCCGCGGAACGGGGGACGACTCTGGCGAGCAACTTCCCCATGACATGAATCCAGAACTGCGCGAAGGCTGGAATGTATAGAACGGTGATCGAATGAATTCAGCAGAAACCTGGCGCCCGTGTCACGGTGGACACTCTCCTCCCTCCCGTTGAAATGACCTACAAAACAGCACACGATAGGCCGAGATTGTTTTCAGCATGCCTCCAAGAAGCCCTGGCACTGCCACAGGACGGCTCGAGGTGGCAGGGAGCCTCCCCACGATGCCTCCAGGAGGCCAACATCCCTCAAACGCCTACGATTCTGTAGACAGCGAATGGTGTCAGGGGCCAAAATCTTTCGCAAGAGAATCCTGGCTTCGGAAATGTGAAATGTGCTGTGTCGTGCCGAGCCAGCGCGCTGTGCCGCGCTTGTTAGACTGCGACACACTTGTCGTGCCGTGCCCTGCCTGGCTCTCAGAATGCGAAGGCATGGCCGTGCCGTGCCGTGCCTGGCTTTCAGGACGCGAGCAGATCGCCGTGCCGTGCCTGGGCTTCAGAATGCGCAGCAACTGCCGTTCTGCGCCTGGCCTTCAGAAAGAAATCGCTGTGCCGTGCCGCGCCTTGCCGAGCCGGCGTGCCGTGCCGCGCCGGGCCTGTCAGAATGCTGTAGGAGCTCGCCAGGCCGCGTCGAGCCCGGTCTTCCCAAAAGGAGAAGCTGCCGCGTCGTGCCGGGCCTGGCTTTCAGAATGCGAAGACATGGCCGTGCCGCGTCTCGTTTTCCGAATGCGAAAAAGAAGCTGCCGTGCCTGGTTCTCAGAATGCGAGAGAATTGCCGTGCCGTGCTTTGCCTGGTTATCGGAACTCGTCAACAATTCAGTGCCATGCTTTGCTTGGCTTTTCAGACTGCGAAGAATTGCCAGGCCTGGCTGGGCCGGGCCAATAAGTCAGAATGCGAAATAGCGGCCGTGCCGTGCCATGCCCTGCCTGGTGTTCAGAATGCGATCATACTGCAGTGCCATGACGTGCCGTGCCTGTTTTTCCCTGAAGGGCAAAGGCTACAAACTACAATATATTATAAAAGGTCCTGCTTGTCTTTAGGCTGTGCCCGCGGGCCGTGCCGTGATACGTTTCCAGACAGCAAGAGGTATACCGCCCATGTGCTGTGCTACGCCCGCATGTCGTGCCCAAACTCGGAAATGTGAAACATGTAACGTGTCGTGCTGTGTCCGCGCGCGGTGCCGTGCTTGTCAGAATTCGAAATTCCGTGCCGCGCGCGCCTGAATTCCAGAATGTGAAACAACTGCCGTGCTGTGCCGTGTCGCACCTGTTTTTCTCAATGCGGCAACATAGCCAAACCGTGCCGTGCCTGGTTTTCAGAACGCAACAATTCCATGTCGTGCCGTGCCTGGTTGTCAGAACGCGAGCAACATGCAATGCCGTGTCGTGCTTAGAAAGCGAGCAACATGTCGTGCCGTGCCGTGCTTGGTTTCCAGATTGCGAAGAACATTGCCATGCCGTCCCGTGATTGGTCTTCAGAATGCGAAGTAATGTGCCGTGCCGTTTCCTGCCGCGCCTGGTTTTCATCATGCGAAATAATGCCGTGCCGTGGCGTACAGAATTTTGCAGAATGCAAAAACATACACTACCGTGCCGTGCCTGGTTCTCCGAAGGCGAGACAATTGCCGTGCCGTGCTGTGCCTGGCTCTCAGACTGCGACGAAGTTGCCGCGCCGTGCCTGTTTTTTTCCAGCATGCGAACACACTGCCGTGCTGTGTCCCGTTCTCAGAATGCGAGGACGCACATGCCCCGCCGCGATGCGCGTGGCTGTCAGCACGAGAACACATCCAATACCGTGTTGTGCTTGGCTTTCGGCATGCGGAAGAATTGCCGAGCCGTGCCGGGCACGCAATGCCGTGCCGTGCAGTGGAGAGCCCGGCCTTCAAGGTGCGAAGAGAACTGCCGTGCCGTGCTCGGGGAAGAATGCGCTGGCTGCCGTGTCGTGTCGTGCCGTGCCTGGTTTCCAGAATGCGGACATTGCAGAAGGCAGGAAATCCACCCCGATTATAATCACCCCAACAAGCGAAGCTGTTTAGTAGACGAGCCCAAGGAAGAAATCGAACATGGCGGGGCTGTTTAATTTAAACGCCCAGGGCCGTTGAGGAAACGGCAGATGTCGGGTCAAGGTGGTTCCTCCCCCCTTGAAATTTGCAGTCTGGCCAGAGAACAATCGACACCACCCCCCCCACGGCCCCACGGGCCCAGCGTATACCAGCAAAAGTCTGGCGTGGACTTCTGCGCGGTGTACGCTACGGCCCCCGATGGACCGTAGCGTGACATGGAGAGCCGCAGGCTGGGGTGGTGCCGCTTGCTTTTTTGATCGACCAATGCCGTGCCCGCTTTTTCGGAACGGCAAGACGTCGTCGTGCCGTGCCGACCGCGTGTCGTATCATGCAGCGTGGTGCCTCGAGTCGCTGTGCTGGTATGGCGGTGGAACGAGTCGTTCCTTCTCAGCACTTTCGCTTCCGAGGGGCGTCTGCGGCCTCAAAGCGGCCCCAGTGTCGACCATCAGAGAAGAACAAAGAAAGGCCCCACGATGGCCCCAATACGGCACCAAGAGCGTCCCAAAGGGAGACCCAAGGTGGCATTTTTCGGGGACGAGAAACACGGGGAGGGGGGATCATCGAGGAATCGTCCTTTGTCGCTCAATTGCCTCCAGGATGGCTACAAGACGCCTCCCAAGGCACCGAAGAAAAGCTCAACTGAGCCCCAAGAGCGTCGCCAAGGCTCCTAAACGGGCCCCAAGCGGCCATGGGGCCCTCGAAGGTCTCCAATTTCACCATTTCGCCGCTCTCCTTGCTTCTCTACGCCCCTCCTCAGGCAGACGTCTGGTCCACGAGCTCGCCACCCTGACGCCCCCTTAGACATCATGCATGCCTCCACGCCAGCACCCGGACAGACCCTCGCGAGCGAAACAACAAAGCCTGGCCTCGCACCGCCTTCGACTCAGTATGGCTTCTATTTGACTCTCGACACCCCCCAGAAGCCACAGTGCCACAGTGGTCGGCGCCCAACCGCTCAGAGAGGTCCCCACACATGACCATGGTACAACTCCCAGACGCCTCAAAGCCGCCTGCAAACAATCAACGATCATGCCCCGAATGCCTACCAACCAGCCACCAGGACCTCCTATATTTACCAGCCTCGAACTCACTCCTATCCCTAAGATTGACACGCCAAAAGGCGATGACAATCTTAGGGATCCGCCCTCAAAAATAAGGGAATCCCTAAGATTGGCATCGTGATGAGGAGGTGCCCAGCATAGGGATAGGGATATGTTCCAGGCTGGAAATAGATTCCCTGACAAGATCGCCCGATGCTTGTCGCTGCTCTTGGACGCCGTCCACGGGGGCGCAGCGTCCTCCGAAGCAGCCCACGTGCATTCCTCAGAAGGAGATAAACTTGGAAGTGCCGAGCACCGCTCCGAGCTGTTGCGTCGAACTCGTAATCACGGCTTCCCGCTGACATGCGGCGCGCCCAAGGCAGCCCCAAGACTGCCACCACCAATCCCATCGGCATCTCCTCCAATGTCAACATGCCAGTCGCAGGGCCCCGTATGCTCTTCGAAGATAGCCCAATACTGCTCCAATACCCTCCGACTGTCTCAACACCACATGAGTCCGTTGGATCTTCTTGGGAGCTCCCCAAACAAAAATTGCGACGAGGACTTCCGCTGTTCCTTCCGGCCAATGTCGATCTGGCTTGCCTCAGCGCCGACAACCTGGGGCCGTCCACACAACCATGACCCCAACGTGATTTTTGTCGCTGCTGGTGGTCTGGTTCTGCTTCGATGTCACCCCATGCGACAAACACAGGTCAACCACAAGTCAACCACGGGACAACCACGGGACCACCTCGGAAGAGCAATCGGATGGCAGCCTGCCCTGGCAAGGCCGGGATCTGCTTCTCCCTCGTGTAGCTTCGCCGCGCCGGCGCGCGCACGTCACGCACGACACGGACCGAAACCGAACCAGGTTTTCCAGTTCGGGGGCTCCGTCTCACGTCGACCTCACCTCCCAGCCTCCGATCTCTGGGAAATAATCACGTCTTCGGCTGGTGGTTAGCGGCGTACTCATGTGTCAGGGAGGCGCAGTAGTGCAGTCGATGTCCGCTGCAATCGCGCCCATTCAGGGCGCAACGCCTCACGGGGGCGCCGATGGGTGCCGCGGGTTCAGCCGGGACCTCACCGCGGAGATAGCAAACACGCGAGAGCACCTCTACCTCCGGGATCCGAAGCCGGTGGAGCACTCCCATCCCCAGCCACTCGCGACCCGGCCCCTCCCTGGGGCCCGCACCAGGCACGCAGCCAAGCGCAACCTCACCGCCGCGTGCGCCGGCCACGGCACGCCGCGCGGTGGCCTGCGGGTTTCTTCTTCGGCGGAGGCGGCGAGGGGCGGCGAGAGGAGCCGTGGACCTGATTGATTGGTTGATTGGTTGAATCAATCAACCAATCAATCAATCATTGATTGATTGGGGGGCTCCTCACAGGCCGCAGGTCGTCCAAAACAGAGCTCGCATGACCTGGATGAGATACAAGAAAACAGGCAGCCCGACGATTGATTGATTGATTGAGGGGCTCCTCACAGGTCGCAGGCCGTCTAAAACAGAGCTCGCAGGACCCGGATGAGAGACAAACAAGAAAACCCGTCGAAGCCTCACTGGACTGCGCGGGGTGGGCGCACGGCTCGTCCTTAACCTGCCCTTTTTCATCCCTCGATCCTGTCGTGTCCTCCTCCGATTGGGGCCTCCTACAAGACTCGTCAAACATATCTCGACGGTCTTGGTCGGCGCTTGCGCTGTCGGAGCTGCTCCAATGCTGACATGGAGCGCTGTAGGGGAACGAACAATGACATAAATATAAAAACTCTGAGGTCCGCGCGGATTTATCGGATCGGCGCTGGATCCCCCTGGCGGCGCCTGCGGCGCCGCCCCTGGCGCGCTCCGTATGTCATTGTTCGTTCCCTTATGCTTGGCCCACAGGCAGCGGTATCCAAAATCAGGCAGTGCCCTCGCAGCATGGAGGAACGCGTTCTCTGACCACTGCCCGAACTATCAGGCGCTTCGAGGTTGAACGGCGTCTCAATTTCTTTTGACGAGGCTGGTAGATGGGGTCGAAGGATCGCACCGTATCACCGATGCATCGGCGATGCATCGGCGATGCATCGGCGATGCACCGGCGCCGTCGGCGTCGTCGTCGTCGTCGGCGGTGTCGTCGTCGTCGCCGTCGTCGTCGTCGTCGTCGTCGACATGGGCGTCGTCGTTGTCGTCGTCGTCGTCGAGCCGATGCATCGGCGGTGCGCCGCGGTCCTCCGAGACCCCGCCCGCACGGACCCCCTCCGGGAGGCACAGCATCCGAGGGGGGCAGAGACGAAGTGCCTGGCCGCCAGGCGCAGGGAGTCGACAAGCGCGGCGCTCCGCCACTCGCAAAGTAACTACTCGCAAATGGCCTTGATCCGCCGCGGGGGATCTACGATCCATTACAGCGATGCAGACATGTCTTTTTCGGACGTTTGCGAATAGGCACTTTGCGAGTGAGGGAGAGCCGAGCGGCGGAAGACCGCTGGCGCTCGTCGGCCCCTGCCGGGCCCCGAGCGCTCGCGTGGCTGCGCCGCCCAGCCCTCTTCGGGATATCCGCGGAGGCTGTCGCGCTGCACTGCCCTCCAGCCCGGCCGTCCGCCCCATCCTGCTCCTCCGTCGCCTTCCTTTTCCTCCTCCTCCTCCTCCTCCTCCTCCTCCTCCTCCTCCTCCAACCTTCTCCTTGCGCTCCCCCCGGGGGGCTACCGCAGAGCGAACGCCCGCGCGGCCCGGGCCTGCAGGCCAGCGCGCCCGCGAGGCCGCGCGGCCCAGGCCTGCAGGCCAGCGCGCGCACGAGGCCGGTGCCCTGCTCGCCGAGCTCCTGGCGCCGCGCGCGCCGTGCGCGCCTCGCGCCAGTGGGCTCCTGCCGCCTCCCGCGGAGGCGGGGGGGGAAGGGGATCCCTAAGGGGGCCTCAAGGGGCAGAGGGAGGGGAGGAAGAGAGATGGAGGAGGAGGAGGAGGAGGAGGAGGAGGAGGAGGAGGAGGAGGAGGACGAGGAGGAGGAGGAGGAGGAGGAGGAGGAGGAAGCAGGGGGAGAAACAAGAGGATGAGGAATAATCATCGAGGGGGAGGGAGACGGGAAAAGCGAGGAGAGGAGGAAAAGGAGGAGGAGGAGAAGGAGGAGGAGGGCAGGTGGGGCGGTCGCAACGCCCAGACTTTACACAAGGTGGGTTAGGAACAATGAAACGTGACACCACCACCACCATCACCACCACCACCACCACCACCACCACCACCACCACCACCACCACCACCACCACCACCACCACCACCAGTGATCACCAGCGGGAGGAGCCAGGGGGGTCCCCCTGTTGGTGTGGTGCCCCCCTTTCGCTCGAGACATCCCTAGCCCGAGGAGGCGTCGTAGACCTCCTCGCCGGACGTGGCCTTGGGGTGGCCCCCCTGGTAGTGGTGTCGCTTCTTCCCTCCCCGAGGGGGAAGGTGGAGGCGGAAGAGGGGGGGGGGTGCAGACTCGACTTCGGTACGATGCTGCGCACGATGGCGACGCGCCTCTGCCAACGCCTCAGGCCCAAGGGCCCCGTACGCCATCGTGTGCACGGAGGAGGGCGAGGCGAGACATAGGGCCAGCACGCACTCTCGCACTCACAAGGGACGTGGAGGAGGAGCGGGGGAGCGCGCGGGGCGAGGGAGCGCGGGGAGGGGAGGAAGAGAAGGAGGAGGAGGAGGAGGAGGAGGAGGAGGAGGAGGAGGAAAAGGAAAAGGAGGAGGAGGGGGAGGAGGAGGGGGAGGAGGAGGAGGAGGAGGAGGAGGAGGAGGAGGAGGAGGAGGAGGAGGAGGAGGAGGAGGAGGAGGAGGAGGAGGGCGCCCCGCGCAAGCGGGCTGCTCCCGCCCCCCGGCCTGCCCCCCCCCTCTGCGCGTGGCCGACCGAGGAGAGGCGGGGGGGGGAGCGGCCGAGGAGAGGTGCGCGAGGCCCTCCCCTCCCAGGGGGTCGTGCAAGAGGCCCTCCCTCCACAGGCGGGCGCACCCTGGGAAGCTTCCACAGCAGAAGTTGTTTTGGGAGGAGGGGTGGGAGGATGGGGACTACGGAGCGCGGGGAGGAGAGAAGGCGGCGAGGAGAGGAGGGAAAGAGAGACCGTAGATGGACAAAAAAGTGGAACCCTTGACACCACGCCCCCCTCCCCCCCCAATTTCAAAGTTGGCCTCGTGCATTCAGCAGCGCAGGCGTGAGAAGGCAAAAAAAAAAAAAAGTGGACTCCCCAGGGCCTCCCGGATGCCGAAGCCAACTTTGAAATTGGGGGGAGGGGGGGGCGAAGGCGGGGTCGAAGACGACCACCCTGTGTCGACGTGGCCCCGTCCCGTGGCACGACGCATGTTGCGTCCGGGCCGTCAGCAGAATGTGGTCCAGCCTCCCCAGGGTCGCCGGGCTGTCAAGATTCCTGCTGGACTGCTGTACTGCGCTCTCTGTGCTCTGCTTCGCTCTCGAACCGTGGCCACAAGAAGTAATGTGGATCAAAAGCGTGATCCCCTTCTCCAGGGGACTGAGGGCCAGTGGAGATACCCCAAGCGAGGACACTTTCGAGGCGGACAGCGCAAAGACGAAGAACACGAGAGTACCCCTTCCGACGCTGGCGTCGTTCTGAGCCCTCGTGCCAGCCGTATTACAGTCGGACCTAAGACACAACAACATCCTTCAGGAACATGAGAACCTCCGCCGGCCAAAACACACAGAACAGCCAAGGGTATACCCTCCCCAGGATGCACAAGAACATCCAACATAACAAGCACGAATGACATGACCTAATTACCATGCCGGGATCGACCTCGATCTTATACATCGGTCCGGCCGTGCTAGGGGGGGCCCGCGGCGCCACGGAGGTTGGTGGGCCCTTCGTATTCCCGGCCGCCCTGCGTTGCCCCAAGGACTCCCGCAGGGACGCCACCGCGCGGCCAAGAGGGCCCAAGAGGCCTCGAAGACGGCCCCAGGCAGGCTCCGAAGAGGGCCTCGCGAGCCCAAGGGCTGCCCGGAGGCGTCTCAAGATGGCCTCAAGGCTGCTAAAGAAGCCTCTTGGCATGGGGTAACGGGTCCTGAGGGAAACGGGTCCTGGATCGTGGATCCGCGCTGGATCCCCCGCCCTGGCGCGCGGAACGCGCGCGCCAGGGGCGGCACCGGAGGCGCCGCCGGGGGGCTCCAGCGCCGATCCGAGAAATCCGCGCGGATCTCCGAGTTTTCATGTTCATGCCATCATTTGTTCCCCTGCATCATTGCCACCTGAACCTTGACCAGCCAACTCTCCCCTGTGTCTTAGCATGGGGGAAACGGGTCCTGAGGGAAACGGGTCCTGGACCCTGGTGCCTCCCCCCAGGACGAGATCTTCATCCCGAGTTGTTTTCTGACAGTCCCGGGGCCTTGGGGGCCCGTGGAGGGCCCCCAGGGGCTCTAGAGCGGGGAAACTTTTCCGCCGCCGGGGCGCTTGCCCCTGGGCGGCTGGAAAGTTTATACCCCTGCGTGGCACCGTGGGGGTATAAACTTTGCCACCGCCTGGGGGGCAGGCGTCTCCGACGGCGGAAACGTTTACTTTATACCGTTCTTCGCCCCCTGACCCATGTTGGCGGCGCGCACAAGGGGGTGGGGGGAGGGGGGGAGGGCTTCTTAGAAGAAGGCTGCTTCTTAGAAGGCGCCGGCCTTACATCTATAGACACGGCCCGCGCCTTCTTGGAAGCAGGGGTGCTTCTAAGAAGCACCCCCCCCTCCCCCACCCCCCCTCCTGCGCGTGGCTGACTCACGGCGACCAACCTTGATCAGCCAGCTCTCCCCTGTCCCAGCCTTGATCAGCTAGCTCTTCGCCCCAGCCTTGCTCAGCCAGCTCTTCCTCCTCCTCCTCCTCCTCCTCCTCCTCTTCCTCCTCCTCCTCCTCCCTCCTCCTCCTCCTCCTCCCTCCTCCTCCTCCTCCTCCTCCTCCTCCTCCCCCTCCTCCTCCTCCTCCATGGCGACCAGCCTTGATCAGCCAGCTCTCCCCTCTCACAGCCTCTGGTGCCCCAGCGCCCGCCGTCGCTCGGACACGCCCCTTCCCTGTGCATGCTTTCTTGTCGGCTTCGCGCGTGCCTCCTTCTGAGGGCCCCCATGGCCGAGGGTGCTCCTCGGAGCTCCTCGCCTAGAAACAAAATTACTCCGACGGTAGGACCCCGCATGAGAAGCTGTTTAGCTTACCCTTTGCCCTTTCCTCTTCCTCCTGGGGCTCCCGCCTGAGACTTCCTCACAATTCACTCACAGACGAGGCTCCCGCTCGAGACTTCCTCCATACTCATATCTCAAGAGCCCAAAAGTGACGACAGTTGCACGTTGCGGATGACCCGTTCGGATTCAAACATGAAGTGCGGGCCCCATAGGGGGGGGCTCCCGCCTGAGACTTCCTCACAATTCACTCACAGACGAGGCTCCCGCTCGAGACTTCCTCCATATTCATATCTCAAGAGCCCAAAAGTGACGACAGTTGCACGTTGCGGATGACCCGCTCGGATTCAAACATGAAGTGCGGGCCCCATAGGGAGGGGGCTCCCGCCTGAGACTTCCTCGCAATTCACTCACAGACGAGGCTCCCGCTCGAGACTTCCTCCATATTCAATCTCAAGAGCCCAAAAGTGACGACAGTTGCACGTTGCGGATGACCCGCTCGGATTCAAACATGAAGTGCGGGCCCCATAGGGAGGGGGCTCCCGCCTGAGACTTCCTCACAATTCACTCACAGACGAGGCTCCCGCTCGAGACTTCCTCCATATTCATATCTCAAGAGCCCAAAAGTGACGACAGTTGCACGTTGCGGATGACCCGATCGGATTCAAACATGAAGTGCGGGCCCCATAGGGAGGGGGCTCCCGCCTGAGACTTCCTCACAATTCACTCACAGACGAGGCTCCCGCCTGATACTTCCTCCATATTCAGGCCTCAAGAGCCCAAAAGTGACGACAGTTACACGTTGCGGATGACCCGCTCGGATTCAAACATGAAGCGCGGGCCCCATGGGGAGGGGGCTCCCGCCTGAGACTTCCTCGCAATTCACTCACAGACGAGGCTCCCGCTCGAGACTTCCTCCATATTCATATCTCAAGAGCCCAAAAGTGACGACAGTTGCACGTTGCGGATGACCCGCTCGGATTCAAACATGAAGTGCGGGCCCCATAGGGAGGGGGCTCCCGCCTGAGACTTCCTCACAATTCACTCACAGACGAGGCTCCCGCTCGAGACTTCCTCCATATTCATATCTCAAGAGCCCAAAAGTGACGACAGTTGCACGTTGCGGATGACCCGCTCGGATTCAAACATGAAGTGCGGGCCCCATAGGGAGGGGGCTCCCGCCTGAGACTTCCTCACAATTCACTCACAGACGAGGCTCCCGCTCGAGACTTCCTCCATATTCAATCTCAAGAGCCCAAAAGTGACGACAGTTGCACGTTGCGGATGACCCGCTCGGATTCAAACATGAAGTGCGGGCCCCATAGGGAGGGGGCTCCCGCCTGAGACTTCCTCGCAATTCACTCACAGACGAGGCTCCCGCTCGAGACTTCCTCCATATTCAGGTCTCAAGAGCCCAAAAGTGACGACAGTTGCACGTTGCGGATGACCCGCTCGGATTCGAACATGAAGTGCGGGCCCCATAGGGAGGGGGCTCCCGCCTGAGACTTCCTCACAATTCACTCACAGACGAGGCTCCCGCTCGAGACTTCCTCCATATTCATATCTCAAGAGCCCAAAAGTGACGACAGTTGCACGTTGCGGATGACCCGCTCGGATTCGAACATGAAGTGCGGGCCCCATAGGGAGGGGGCTCCCGCCTGAGACTTCCTCACAATTCACTCACAGACGAGGCTCCCGCTCGAGACTTCCTCCATATTCATATCTCAAGAGCCCAAAAGTGACGACAGTTGCACGTTGCGGATGACCCGCTCGGATTCAAACATGAAGTGCGGGCCCCATAGGGAGGGGGCTCCCGCCTGAGACTTCCTCGCAATTCACTCACAGACGAGGCTCCCGCTCGAGACTTCCTCCATATTCATATCTCAAGAGCCCAAAAGTGACGACAGTTGCACGTTGCGGATGACCCGCTCGGATTCAAACATGAAGTGCGGGCCCCATAGGGAGGGGGCTCCCGCCTGAGACTTCCTCACAATTCACTCACAGACGAGGCTCCCGCTCGAGACTTCCTCCATATTCATATCTCAAGAGCCCAAAAGTGACGACAGTTGCACGTTGCGGATGACCCGCTCGGATTCAAACATGAAGTGCGGGCCCCATAGGGAGGGGGCTCCCGCCTGAGACTTCCTCGCAATTCACTCACAGACGAGGCTCCCGCTCGAGACTTCCTCCATATTCATATCTCAAGAGCCCAAAAGTGACGACAGTTGCACGTTGCGGATGACCCGCTCGGATTCGAACATGAAGTGCGGGCCCCATAGGGAGGGGGCTCCCGCCTGAGACTTCCTCACAATTCACTCACAGACGAGGCTCCCGCTCGAGACTTCCTCCATATTCAGGCCTCAAGTCAGCGATGATGATGATGATGATGATGATGATGATGATGATGATGATGATGATGATGATGATCGTTCGATGCCGATGATGGTGAGTGATCGCGGGATGGTGATGGTGATGCTGATGGTGATGATGATGATGAGTGGGGAGTGATGGTGATGGTGATGATGATGCGGAGGAGGAAGCAAAGAGGAGCAGAGGAGAGGGAGGAGGAGGAGATCCTGCGCGGAGGGTGTGCAGAGAAAACAAGAACCCCACTTAGGATGTGGGGAAAAACACTGGCACACGCCCGAGCGAGGCCGAGGCTGGGCCCCCGCCGCTCCCTCGCCAACCCGGCCCGACCCCTCGCGCCGCCCGCGGCCGCCCGCCCGCACGCTCGCAGCCCCCCCCCCCCTCTTGCCGGCGCACGCGCGCGCGGCCGACCGCGGGGAGCTCAGCCAGGCGCGCAGCCCCGCCACGTCCACGATGGCCGGCCGGACCCCGGCCGCCGCCAGGTCCAGCTCCAGCTGCCGCGAGAGCTCGTTCCAGCCGCGGGGCGAGACGTGCCCGTCGACGCTGCGCCAGCGCGCGGCGTCTGCCACCCTTGCCAGGTCACGCACCCTGCGTGGCCTCGGTGGGCACCGGGGGGTTGGCAGAGGACTGAGGAAGAGAGAGAGAGAGAGAGAGCGAGAGACAGAGAGAGAGAGAGAGAAAGAGCGAGAGACAGAGAACGACAGAGAGAGGGAGAGATGACAGAGACCGAGAAGGACACAGAGAGAGAGAGAGAAGGTACAAGTGGGAATATAACGAAGATGATACAGAGACGAGAGAGGGAGAGAGAGATATAAGGAGAGAGTGGTAGAGGAAAGTATGGAGGAACAGCAAAGAGAGAGGAGGCGGAGGAGGAGAGAGGAAGCGGTGGCCAGTCTCAAGCGGGGCAGTCCACCAACGATCGAGCACAATCAAATCGCGCTCAACCACTTCCGCGGTAGCCGCTAGCCCGCACCCCGGTTGTCGTCCTACTGATCATCGTCCTCGTCGTCGTCGCCCTCCTCATCCCGATCCTCCAGATCTTCTTCCTCCACGTCGTTACTAATTACAGTCGGGCTGCTGGAATAAGGAACGATACATCAAGAGCGAAGCCCCTTTTTGGCCCCAGAAGCGACTGCGTGCACGAGGAGGGCTGATTAGAGGAACGGCCATGGAAGGACCTACGGAGCATGACAGCGCCTTGACTGTACTATCACCATCACCATCAACATCCTTCATTCTCCCAAACTGCCGGGGTGGGCACCATGTTGCAGCAGCCAACCTGTGACCACCCGGTATCGTCGAAGTCGGAAGTCTGGGCCGCAGAGGCAACGCAAGAAATGTCGCGCGCTTCCCTTGAGGCAGCAGGGCCCTGGCACCATGTTCCAGTGGCCAACCTGCGACCATCCGGCATTGCCGAAGTCGGGCAAGCTGCAGGCCGAAGAGGCAGCGTGGGCGGGGCCGTCCGGCGTCCCAGGCGACTGTGAGGGAGGGGCGCACACAGCCACACAGACGCACAAACACAAGCACACAAGCACACAAGCACAACCACAAACACAAACACACACACAAGCACACACTGCGCAGGACACTGCGCGTCTTGACTCGCAAATGTTTTTTTCCAGGTGCCCTTCACACATCACATTGACAGATTCAAAAGGGAACGCAAAACATTCGAAACACACATCGTTAATTTTGTTCTGCGATCCTTTGCCATTGCGCTTTGATTGCTGAACAGTGCCCGGCGAGTCCGATCGCTCTAAAAACTGCGCGCTGTGTCGAAGCGCACAGGGCAGGCCAGACGCACCCACACCTCGAAAGGCAAGCATGAGGCAGTAGAGATGTGAAGGGTACAGAGTGTGCCTCTACGGGTGCCCCATCGAACAAAACTCACAACAATATTGGCAGGGCCGCACATGCGGCGTCGAGCTGCTTATCCCCGCGAGGAGGAGACTGCGACCCAGCGACGCTCGAGAGTGCCCAGGCCCGCGGCTGTCCCCAGGAGTCCCCCCCCGGGGCAGACTGGGCCGCGTCCCCGAGGCACGCCCGGCCCAAGGCACAGGAGAGAGAGGCGCAGGATGAGGGGACGGGGATGGGTTTGGGACTCCGCCCGAGGTCATCAGAGGAGGGCTCCAACACGAGGACAGGGTGGGTGTGGGGCGGGAAGGAGGAGGAGGAGGAGCAAAAGGAGGAGGAGGAGGACGAGGAGGAGGAGAAGGAGGAGGAGCAAAAGGATGAGGATGAGGATGAGGATAATGATGATGATGATGATGATGATGATGATGATGATGATGATGATGATGATGATGATGATGATGATGATGATGATGATGATGATGATGATGCTGATGCTGAGATGATGATGATGAGAGGAGGAGGAGGAGGAGGAGGAGGAGGAGGAGGAGGAGGAGGATGAGGAGGATGAGGAGGATGAGGATGAGGAGGATGAGGATGAGGAGGAGGAGGAGGAGAGGAGGAGGAGGAGGAGGAGGAGGAGGAGGAGGAGAGAGGACGAGCGACGAGACGAGCGACGAGCGACGAGCGACGGGCGACGGGCGGGCGACGAGCCCGGAGCCTTGCGAGCCACGTCGCGGCCAGGCCGGCCAGCGAGCAGCGCCCCAGGAGGAGGAGGAGGAGGAGGAGGAGGAGGAGGAGGAGGAGGAGGAGGAGGAGGAGGAAGGGAAGGAGGAGAAAAGGAGGAGGAGAAGGAGGAGGAGAAGGAGGAGGAGGAGGGAGGAGGAGGAGGAGGAGGAGGAGGAGGAGGAGGAGGAGGAGGAGGAGGAAGGAGGAGGATGAGGAGGAGGAGGAGGAGGAGGCAAGGAGGAGGAAGGAAGGAGGAGGATAAGGAGGAGGAGAAGGAGGAGGAGGAGGAGGAGGAGGAGGAGGAGGAGGGGGAGGAGGGAGAGGAGGGGAAGGAGGAGGAGGAGGAGGAGGAGGAAAAGGAGGAGGAGGAACAGTAGATGTAGCCTGAGGCGCGCCGATCCACCCGGACAGAGGCTGACACACTGAGTTTGGAAACGAGACCTGATCAAATATGAAGGAGCGGCGTGCCAGTGCTCAACGGCCAAAGGTGGGAACACCCTGCCCCCTGACGTGCACCTACCATGCGCTTACCCTCAGCGGTTCAGTAGGATGATAACGGATGGGCTGGTACGCCCAAACGATGTCCTGCAAACGTGACCGGGAACTCTCGGGGCGGAAATGCGAGACGCCAGGCGGGAGCGCCCGTCACACCCGAAAAACGACGCGAGCCGCCCGTCGGGAAGGCCCGAGGTAACTTCCAGCAGCGGTAGTTTGAAACAAACTAGGACCCAAGCGCGCGGCAGCGTGCGATTGTGGATGGGCTGGCGCGCCCCGAGCTTGCGACAGCCCATTATTCCCTACCCGCCCTACATCATAGCTCATCCCCCCGCCCCGCACCAACCCGCCCACAGTTCATAGCTCGGCGCTCTGACAAGCCGCCAGCAGGGATCTGTGGGCGAAGTCCAGGGCAACAGATGCGATCTCTTCGACGCTCTGGCAGAGCGTCCAGCTCGACTTTCGGCGTGGAAAGATCATGACTCGATGTTCATCCTGCGGATGACCGCCAGGTGAGCGTCGTCCAGGGAAGCGTGGTCCTGCTCGGAATCCATTCCCCACATGACGAGTAAGCGAGGGCTCAGGACGGCGCGGGGAAGGGCGGTAGCATGCATGAGGCGAGGGCACTGCCACTGCATGGCACATCGTGTCCCGCGCCGAGCAATCGAAGCGTCAGGTGCAAAGCTTCAGGACGTGCCATCTGTGGGACGTGATCCAGCCCGCGCAGAGCTGCGCGAGCTCACGCCGCAAGGCTTGCCAGCGAAGCTCCGTGTCGACAGGCCACTCGGACGAGGGATCCAGGGCGGTCGTGGAAGCGACAAGTGTCGAGGAGCACAGACGTAGGCAAAGAGCGAATTTCAGCCCGCTGAAGCCCATGGCGCCCATCGTCGCGCCCAACTTGGGCGACCTCCTCGCTACGTCCACCTGGGAGGCGTGCGAGCAGGCGGTCGAGATGTGGCTACGAGAGGAAGTCCAGACCTCGGAACAAGAATAGCGAACACGTATGCCGTAGTCATCGGTCAACACATCCCCCTCCCCCCCAATGTTCAAAGTTGGCGGTGGGTCTGATGAGCTGCACTGCGACCTCAGCCTCCTCCGCGCGTGCCAACTTTTGGGGGAAAAGGGGGGAATGTCCATGAGCTGTTCTCCTCTACATCTGTCTACGGGAGGAGATCTGGACGGGGCAGCCGCGAGGCATCGAAGAGTACATATCACCGATGCTGCGCTGCTGCTGGAAAAGTGAACTCAGGAACCCACGGCGCCGGCGGGCCAAGGAGCCGTGGACGTGGGCTGCTTCCGCGAGCGCGCACTGAGCCGGGGACGCCACGATCTGGCAGTCGTGACAGAGCAAAACCGCCAGGCCGCGGCGGCGCTATATGTGACAATGGAGGGAGCCCCGCTTTACCCCAAGAGCGGAGGGAGTGGAAATCGGCCAGCTTCAAGGTGCCTGGGGGCAGTCGGCAGGCCTTCTGTCGTGCAGAAATATCGTACCGCAGTATTTTGCGATCGACGGCAACAAACTGAGTGAAGTATGACAACACAGGCATCGTCGCTGCGACGTAGGAGTGTGCATTGACTGCCATCGCAGCCCCAGCGGAAGCCTGGAGCTGAACACGCGTCAAGCACTTCTGCGCAGCAGCCCGCCGCTGCATGGCCAGGGTGGCAGCAGGCCCAATGCAAGCACATAGGTACTTGCAGGCTCCGCCAATAGCAGGGGCAGACCATTCAGGTGCAAGGGATGCGAGAAGATCGCGAGCCTCGCTCTCGACGAAGAGATAGAGAGAGAGAGAGAGAGAGAGAGAGAGAGAGAAACTAAAAAAGAGAAACAAACAAAGAGAGACAGAGAGAGAGAGAGAGAGTCCCTCTTGGCGTTCCAATCTGTCACGATTTTCCAGCACTCAGCCACAGGTTCTCGATCTTGATCGAGAAGGCACCAAGCGGTACTGCTGTGGGCGTGCCCTGGGCAGTCCGCTTTCCTGAACGGCCTAAGCCAAAACACGGCAGCAACTCCGAAATGCACGGAGAGTAAGAGGACTAGAAAGAGAGAGGACACGATAAAGATTCTCTCGGGTGGGAAAGAGAGAGAGAGAGAGAGAGAGAGAGGCCCATCGCGCGCCTCGTGGTACTGCAGGGCTGGTCATTGATCAGCATCAGCTCTCTGGGCGGAGGGGGGGGAAGGCGACCTGAAAGGGAGATCGCATATCGTTGGAGGGGGGGGGGGGGGGAAGTGCTCCACGCTCATGCTCTGACAGTGTGGCACCCACTGGAGCCCCAAGTCGAGCTGATGCCACGCATTCTCCACTGGCAGAAGGAATTTGAAACGGGAAATCCTCTGGGTCTGAGTTCGTCTCTAAGGTGCAGCTTACGAGACCTACAATCAAGACCTCCAAGGGTGCAGAGGGGAGGGCCTGAAGCTGGGAGAGGAAAGACAGGGGAAAAGGCCCATGGCGCGGGTCACACCTGAGGGAACAGCTCACGGCGTTAGCACATCACCTCTGGGAGCCTTACTTCAGAGGGTTGGGGGGAGAGAGGGCAGGGATAATATTTAAGAAGGAGAGGGCAGGGGATATCAGAGACCTGGGCGTCAAATCCTAAGAGAGATCGGCTCCGAGGTCGCATCGCAATTCTGCTTTACCTTACGGGGTTTGGTTCCCTGACACTGAGCGGGGTGGGCTACAAGCCTCGGGAGGAGAGTTGGAGCACTGCCAAATGGGAGTTGACCTGCCATCACTGGGATCGAGGCCCCTACCAGGCCCATGATCATGTGACGGACTATTGCCTGCTCCTGATCATTCGGTATCGTGAACGGAAGTGCAAACATGTTAGATAACTCTTGTAGCATTCCAGCCTCCCGAGTATGTGTCCAATGCATGGTAAGGTACGCACGGACAACTTGGATCCTCCTCCACTCCTTTACTGGTATCAAGATATTCACAATGAGGGCCACACAAAAGCCGATCACGAAACCCAGAATGATCCAATCACGAGGTGGTCGCCTCGATATCACGAAGTTCTTCTCTTGGCAGATGTCTCCGTCCTCGGAGTCCGCGTCAGCTGCAACGGTCTCGGCACTCACATCTCAGAGGGCACTGCCGTTAAGAATTCCCAGGACAAGCTGCACGCGCTTCGCCTTGCTCGTAGGTGGAGGGCGCTTCGGGGGATGGGCGACGATGTACTTGTTGATCTGCGCGACCACTGTCTTGTCTACCATGCGCGCCTCCAAGACTTGAGCTGCCTCTGCCCAGGTCATGCGTGTGCCGAGTTGCTTCTTGCCGCCGATGAGGGACTGGAGCCAGCCGATCTCCGCGCGCTTGAGAAGGGCCGTGCTGGCGGGGGCCTCCGCCACCGGTGTCGGGCTCGCCTCGCGCTCGACCGCAGTAGATTTCTTCTGCTTGTTGTTGCTGTCCGAGGCCTCGAGGAGTTTGCTGAGCTGGTCCCCGAAGCTCGACTTCATGGCCATCGCCACATACTCACCCTGCTTGCGAAGCTGCATCTCCTCCTTCCTGTCCTCCTTGTCCTTGAGCGATGCCTTGAACTCAAGATCCACTGCCGCCAGCTCTTCACGGAGGCGCTGGACGTCCACCTTCCTGCCTGAGGCAGAGCGGGAGCGGCGGCGACCATGACTCTGGCCACGGTCACGGTCTCCACGGTCTGAGCCACGGCCACGATCATCACGATCAGAGCGGCGATCATATGGTGCATCACGGTGATCGCGATGGTCGCGATACTCTCGGTACTCTCGAATGTCGCGAACATCACGGGTGTCACGGTAATAGTCCCGCTGCTCCCAGGAGCCCCGAGAGTCGCGGTAGTCACGGTCCCCATCCCGAGATCCACGACGGTCGGGGCTGCACCTGCACTCACGATCCCAACTCCCGCCACGACGTCGAAAATCATGACCACGGTCTTGGTAGCTGTAGTTGCTGGGGTTCCCTTTACTCTCGCGGCCCCCACCTTTGTGCACCCAGGGTTGACGAGGCCCACGGGATCCCATCTCGGTCGGATGGAGGAAGAAACGTTGCCAGCACCTCGCCGTCGCTCGAGCCGTCTGTATGGCCACGGACCAGGGGCATGCCCGCAGGGAGGCGACGATGAGCTTCGAGGGATACCCCATGACAAACAGCTCCAAGACGAGCTCCAGGACCCAAGACGTTACCACTCTCACAGGTAGGCCCAGGCATTGGGCTCTCGCGAGACGCCCCGTGAAGAGAGAGACCACCATATTGAACCCTCTGGGCGGAAGTCCAGGCCACGGAAGAATATTTGTTTTTGGGCGGGGTTCTGCACAACCTTGGAGAAGCCAAACGCGGTTCTCATTCTTCGGGCGAATGGAGATCTTATGCTCGGAGGGCCACAGCTCCAGGTCCAGCCAGAAGCACGGGGCCTGGGGGTCCAGGAGGTCCGAGGCAGGGGAGAGCTTGACCTGGTAGACCTGGGACAGGTAGAAGTAGACACATTGCCTGCAGTAAACCTTGCTAATACCTAGGATGTCGTCAACATACCGACGTTGTCGGATCTCCACCTGCCCTGAGGTCGGCGATACCTGGAAACCATGGTCCTGAAACTGTTGAGATTGACGGGAGGCTCGGAGTTCAAACCATGCCAGTAATATCGATAAGGCCACACCTGATAATACACCACCCATTGGTGAACCTCTAAGTTCATAGACAATCCCACCAATCGTCACTAAAGATGACCAACAATATGCTAACATCGTCGACGTGATATTTGCTATAGTTACCTTGAAATATGTTGGTGGGGTTCCTGATCGAAACGTTTTGGTTTTGTTTTCTTTTCCACGTTTAACTAGTACTGCATCTGTTCCTAGACGACGGGATACTTCTGCGGAAACCTCCTTCCATGCCTGACCAATGAGAGTAGAATTGCACTGTTCATACGCCTGATCTGCATCAGCAACCACAATCGAGATGGATGGGAGATGGCAAGAACAACGGAGGCACTCATCAGTGCTGGGTGGGTCAAGGTCCTGGACGACGCGGTTAATCTCGCGAGTAGCGTCTTTCATGTCAAAGACTTCGCGCGATACCTCGCTCTCGCGAAGAAGGTGTCTCGTAGCCCTGCCGATTACACGATACCCTGCTGTCCCTGGCGCATCTGCCGAGTTGACAATACGGCGCATGCAACTGTGACCTGGTTTCGTACAGCAACGCACACCATCAGGAAGAAAGCACTTGCTTCTGACAGTCGGGAATACGCATGGCGGATTTTTTTTTTTTTTTTTTTTTTTTTTTTTTTTTTTTTTTTTTTTTTTTTTTTTTTTTTTTTTTTTTTTGCGGGGTGGGGTAACATATTCCTAGTACGTAGCCGAGGGGGAAGTCCATGGATAACCCTAGACCATAGCCATAAAGCCGCATCATACTTAGATATATCCAACCGTACTTGCCAGTCTTTGTCTAGCTCAGCTGTTTGATGAAGCCATCGTACCACATCACCCCCGTCTGCCACCCATATTTTATCACACTGTTTGTCATATGCGATATAAATGTCACTGCATGCTTGCTCCAATGATGCCTGCATTTCTTGCCCTAGGAATTGCCAGCGTGGTGGAGGTGGATGTAGGGCCACACTTAGCTCTGGAGGTAGAGGTGAGGAGAACCTTTTCTGCAAATAATCCAACCCTCGTCGGATAACTGGCTGAGAAAGTCGAGCTGCTTGTGCCCATTCCAAGAGGCATACCTTCGCACTCCTGAGGGCCACGCGGGGGGCGCACCAAACGGGCAGTCGCCACGAGCCTGGCAGCTGCTTCAAATGTAGCGGTCCTGACACAAAGTTGGACGGGACAACTGACTCAGGCAAGCAAGACGACTGATACGATGCACAAAAGCGGCTTGCTGACACTCGATCCTTCCAGATCCGACGTGCACGAAAAGAAGCGCGGGGAGGCTGAGCATACCATTCCCGTGCTGGAGCATACCGCATCTGGTTCACCATCGACTGCATGGCCCCTTTGATCACATACTGGAGGTGCCTCACCTGGTACTCAAAGGGTAGCTTCAAGACGGGCCTCGGAGCCGCTGGTAACCCAAGACACTTCAAATGACGGTCTATGTGGAACTTCGCTACTCTGACTATGTTAAAGTTCTGCAGAAACTCTCCAGCTAGACCTGCTGCTTTGAACAGGATCGCACCTACTTCCAAGCGTGATAAGAATGTACACACAGGCAACGGTCGCCACCTCGCTGCTAGATACGCCAGAAGAAGTCTCAGATGCTCATGACCCAGAAGCCAGAGGGGGCCCTCGACATTGGTGAGGAGGTACCTTTCTTTGATCTGGAGGGTGTAGAGCATGCTGTACGGGGCGGGTTCCGACAGGGCTCCTGGGCACTGGCTGAGGGGACCTGTGATGAGCCTCGGGGTGACCTCCACGTGGGCAGGGGTTGCTGTCAGCCAGACGGGGGGAGGAGTACGTCGGGGCGGTGGTCGTCGCCACGGGGGGGGTCGCCGTCGGGGTCGGTTCTTCGCCTTAGGAGGTAGGTAGAGGGTCCCCAAGCCCCGTCTCAAGCTTAGCTGTTCAGATTCTCGAGCATCAGCTGCATTCGCCGACGGTGAAAACCTCTGAATCGCGAGAGCTTCGAAATGGAAACTTGCTGCTTCAGAGGGTACCCACAGTTTTGGTAGGAAAAACAACGAGCCTCCAGAACGCCGAAGTTCACGATCTCGAGGTCGGTTTCCTGGTCGAACCCGAGGATGTAGGAGAGCCCGAACGTGCTCCTGGATACGCCCTAGAAGTTCAGGGAGGGCACCTGTTCTGAGACATGCTTTTCCGATGTGCTGAGACGCGTAGCTGCCCAGGATGTACACTACTGCTCGATGAGGCTCACAACTCACGCCAAGAACACTGGAGAGTGCGGTAGACAAGATAGGCTCATCCCAGTTGTGCACTCCACGACGCCATTCGGGGGGAAGCATCCGCCAGACACGCCGAGCCCACTTGGGCATCCTTGGCATCATGAAGGCATGGCGTAGGCGACAAAGAGCAGACATGATTAGGATAACTCCGATGGTGCTCCACAGGGCAACTCCTCGAAGCGGGCGGAGGTATGTCGGTCGATTGCCAACAAATTCACACAGCATGGCTAAAAAAGTCGTGTGGTAGGCCCTGATATGTCGATGATCTCGGCGCTCCCATAACCACATCCGAAGCTGAGCCCCCATGCCCCCCATCGTGTAGTCGGAACCTTTCTTGAGAATCTAACGAAAAAACCGTTTGCCGTACGCGTGGCAACATTCTGCTGGACCGGGTATGGCATCACGAAACGGAGCTGCTCCAGCTCCAGGCACGGGGACGTCTCGCTGTCATCCACCTCCTCCATGAACCTGACGTGTCGTCCCTGTACGGGAACGACTCCGAGCTCGATGTCCCTTCCTCTGATTCCAACGCATCCAGAGTCAATAAACATTCCTCGTGGCGTATCCGATCTTCGTGGTGAAACCGGCGCCATTGCTCCTCGAGATCCCAAAGAATCGGTCCTAGGGTCTGGTAGTACTTCAGGGAGCTCTGAACAAACTTCGCGAGCCATACTTCTCGGCGTCGAGATACAAACTCCCTAATCAGATTGAACAAGGTCGGTTGTTCACACAGCGTGGAAAACGTCGGTGGCATGGGTGGACAGGGCGACGATGGGGCCGAAGAGGATGAAGAGAAAGTGTGCACAGAGCGGTAAATGAACGTCCGCTTGGGAGCACTTGACGGGAACCGCAACTCCCCGTAGCCCTCGGTGAAGGCCGGCTTGAGGTGCGTTAGGAGAGAGTCCCTCTTGGCGTTCCAATCTGTCACGATTGGAGAAGAGAGAGAGCGAGAGAGAGAGAGAGAGATAATAAAACAAGAGGGAGAGAGAGAGAGAGAGAGAGACAGAGAGAGGAGGAGGAGGAGGAGGAGGAGGAGGAGGGGAGGAGGAGGAGGAGGAGGAGGAGGAGGAGGAGGAGGAAGGAGGAGGAGGAGGGAGGAGGAGGAGGAGGAGGAGGAGGAGGGAAAGGAGGAGGAGGGAGGGGAGGAGGAGAGGAGGAGGAGGAGGAGGTGGAGGAGGAGAAGGAGGTGGAGGAGAGGAGGAGGAGGAGGAGGAGGAGGGGGAGGGGAGGAGGAAGGAGGGAGGTCGGAGAGGGGAGGAGGAGGAGGAGGAGGAGGAGGAGGAGGAGAGGAGGAGGAGGAGGAGAGAGGAGGGAGGAGGGAGGGAGGAGGAGGAGGAGTGGAGGAGAAGGAGGAGGAGAGGGGGAGGGAGGAGGAGGAAGGGATGAGGAGGAGGAGGAGGAGGAGGAGGAGGAGGAGGAGGAGGAAGGAGGAGGAGGAGTGAGGAGAGGCGCGGAAGGAGGGGAGGAGGAGGAGAGGAAGGAGGAGGAGGAGGAGGAGGGAGGAGGGGAGGAGAGGAGGTGGAACGCGGCGGGGGAAGGAGGAGGAGGAGGAGGAGGAGGAGGACGAGGAGGAGGAGGAGGAGAGGAGGGAGGAGAGGAGGAGGAGGAGGAGGAGGAGGAGGAGGAGGAGGGAGGAGGAGGAGGAGGAGGCCGACCAGGGTATGCTGCTGGGTGCGGGACTGCGGCAACCGCCAGTCCGAAGGCTCTGCTGGCCCAGGGGTGAAGCGGGAGACGGAGATCCAGTCGGCCACGCCGGCGCTTCCGAAGTCCTGCAGGGCCACCACGCGCGTCTCGAAAGGGCCAGGGCAGCACAGCAGCTCCCAGAGAAACACCGGCGCACCAGGCTTGAGCACGTTGTCCTTTTCGGATGGGGCAGGG